TATATATATATATATATATATATATATATATATATGGTGTGATACGTGTCGCTGTGCTGCTGCTGCTGCTGCTGCTGCTGGCGCGCGGCGTGAAAAGCGCGAGACACGCCGGTTGGTCGTTCCGTCTCGTCGCCGCGATATACTCGGTGATCACTCGCGCGGTTTTCGCAAAAACGGCGGCACGAGCGAGAATACATACATCATCGTGCACGCGTTGCTGACGGTGATGACACGCGGCGGGGTCCCTTCGGAACATTCGTCGGTGCGGGCACCGCTGCACGGGTGTCTGCTCCCTGCGTCTCCCTATGTCTCTCTCTCTCTGTCCCTCCTTTATCCGTACCTATATCTCTCTCTCGCTCTCTCGCTCGCGCGTGCATAGGTGTTCGCACGACGCACTATCGATGTGTACGGACAAGTGTACAGTATGTGTACGTGTTCCGTGGTGTACAGTACGTGCGGGATAAACGTGCTCGCCACCATTGCTTCGTCTCTCGTATATACTACGTGCTTGCGTGAACGAGTGCGTGAATGCGTGCGCGTTGTACTCGTGCGCTCTCTCTATCTCTTTCCCTCCTCCCTCTTTCGATCCGTTTCCCCTTTCACCCTCCGAGCAGCGTGTACGCGCGATGCGTGCCGCCGGAATTCGCGAGACGCACGCCACGAGTTCTCGGGAACTGGGCCGAGACGCCGATTTTCGGAGCACTGATTGTGAGCATGTGATGATACCGGGTGATCGCATATGTGTGGATAATGTGTGAGTGGTGAATGCATACGTGTACATCGTTTCTCATGAATGCCAGCGATAACGACGACGTTGTCATTGACTTTCGTGAACGACAATTGTCGGACACATCTCGTTTAAGACGATCGCCGTCGCGACGCTTCGAATTTTTTTTTGTTCTCTTTTTGTTCTCATGATAACGATAATCATCACGTTACTCTAATGCCGTTGAAACTGAATGATAACTAGTTTAACACGCACTTCTGCGCGTGATATTTTCTGCGAAAAGAAAAGAAAAGAAAGTTCCGTAATTGATTGCCTTTCGCGGAATATGTCGCGATCATGCTCGAGAGTGTACGAATTGATGAGTCGCCGATATACGTAACGGATAATAGCTGTTTGATAGTCGGTGTCAATGGGTCCTATGAATAAAAGCGAAACAAATGCCTTTGACGGGAGAGAGAGAGAGAGAGAGAGAGCTCTGTGTGTGTGTGTGTGTGCGCGCGCGCGCGCGCGCGCGCGTGTGTGTGTGTGTGTAATTTAGAGGAACGAAACAAAACGTTATTCTATTTTTCTTACTAATGTTCTTGAAATACACCTGTCTTAGATAAATGAGAGCGTAAACATTTGTTGCATTTGTTTTATTTGAATGAATGAATATTTTCTAGACTGCAAGTTGCTGAGTTGCGATGTTTAAATATCATGTGTTGATTTTACTAATTTTAAAATTGTGGGTCTTTAAATATCAATGTTTATGTATATATCTGTAAACTATGATATATTTTATTCACTGCGTACTTTTGTGTTCTTATGCAATTATACAAATTTCATTAGCAACAAGCAGCTTACTCTAGTCGATTAAAAAATGTAGCATGAAGATTGTAGCTTGGTGTGTCAAATCTGTAAGAGAAATGTTTCTGTTATGATTACAGAATCTCTGCAAACATCTAAACATATATCGTCGGAAGAAAAATTTAATAGTTTTCCAGATAAAGAACAATATTACTATTATTGTCAAGATATAAATGAGAAAGATAAATATACTCCAGATCTTCAGTATGGTGTGAGGTGTCACAATTCTTCTATTGTTTCCAGCAATGGTAAAATACAATTATTATACTATTATTTTGTTGCACATCTTTGTGTAAAAACCGCAGTTTTTGTTGAATATAATATTTTATGTTGTAATAAATTATGTCATTTATTTATTATAATTATGAAATAAATTTTAATACAAATATTATCTGTTGATCTGTTATTACCTGACATTTTAAATTGCATTGGCATAAATTATTTTACTTTAGAACAGAACTTGTAATAAAATTTTATGATGTAAATATGAATTACAAATTATTTTTTTTTTATTCCAGGACTACACATATTTGACATTGCGCCACAATGGGCGCTATCGGATCATTTTATGCGGTGGATCAATGTTCAAACATTGGTAGCACATAATAACGAGCAAGACATAGATGACTCGTATTATAAGACGAAAGATACCACGGAAGCTATTAATTTAAACTTGATATATCCTATAAAGTTATCATCAACAGTACGACACAATGATAGGATAGTGAATTCTAATGTACTGACTAGTACAGTTAATGAATCACTATCCGAACAAACGAAAACCCTGCAGAAGGAACAAAAGAATAGGCTGGATAACTGCCAGAAGGATTACGGTGAGGGAACAAAATCTAGCTTGCTAAATACCACTAAAACGACGGATTCGTTTGTGAAGAATACAAGCAGAATTTTATCTGAATCACAAAAAGAAATTTATCACGATACAAATATTAAATTGTTGAGTTGTTTGTCAAAACATTCAATTGACACGCAAAATATTGCCGAACTAAAAGTTACGTCGGACAATATTGAGCACAATAAAGAAGCTTGTGATCCCGATTGCACCACTTCTGTAGCAGATAACGAGCCACTTAATTTAGTAATAAATTCGGAAGAAAGTATACGCAGCCATACCTACAGTAAGACAAGGAATCGACTCTGCAATTATCCGCATTCGTTAAGTGTCGATAAGGAGACACTTTCAGTAGACGGTGCCATTTTAAGACAATTAGATCATTCCTCCAATGTACAGAGTTTTTGTAACGCAAAGTACAAGAAAGTAGATTATGGCTTATTGAAGCTTTCTGATTTAAATGAGTTGTCATGTAATTCGGACAAAGGTAAAGAATTGTTTAAAACCATCGGCAAACTGCATGCCAGTAGTAGTGAAGTAAATGGAAAGATCGTAACGAATGGTGATTTGAAGCAAGAGAGTGAGCAAATTTTGGATAAATACGTCACGCATGTATTACCATCACGCTTAAGTGAGAATAAAGCAAAAACATCGGCTTGGATACAGTTACAATCGAATGTCAAATGTAATAACATCAAAAAAGAGTATTGCAGTGAGGAAGGAAAACATAAATCAGAAAGTACCGATCTAGTGACCGTCTGCAACTCAAGATTAAACAATTGGGCGTGTTTCGAAATGTCAGGACAGTATCCAGGTCATAGCCGACCACCGGTTGGCACACCTCCACCACAAACTGTCTGGAATCATCTCACTATGACGCAGGGTCAAGGTAATTTTAATTTGAAATATTTGCTATGTTATTTCTTTATAACGTTGTAATAAATTAACTATGTTGATTGTATTTACAGCTCTCAATATCCACCCGACGGCATTATCCGGTCCCGCTTTAAGTCCAGCCGGATTCTACACGCATCCATCCATGGCACGGACATCCCATCTGCCGTCTCAACTCACTCCGCAACTCGCTCATACGCAAGCACCACCGACGTGGCATACACCCACGGTCCCTTCAAAAAGCGTTACGCCGGCAAACACGCCGGGTAATCCTTTGTTCAGTTTACAAATGCTGGTAGACAATCGGCAAAATCAAAATCAGTACAGAAACTCACCTGGCTCCCAAAGTACTTTAGATCTCTCGTCTACGTCAGAGATTATTCCGGAGAATTATTCTCGAATACCTCAGGATATTCCCATCAGTTTAACCGCGAGAAATGTAGATAAGGGCAGTCGAAACGGGAACATAATCTCACCGCCGATACCGCTCAACGGGGAGACCTCGTCGGACAGTGGAATCAGCTCATCCGTACCGACGCCGAACCCTGTTACTGAACCAGTTTCACTATCGACGAAAGAGGTCACCACTCCTAAGATATCGGTGAAAAACTTTGACAATCTAAAAGGAGTCGCGAATCTTCATGATAAGATTAAGGAAATGAATGTAGATAATTTTACGCAGAAAGTGATAAATTTGCCGCCTAGTGTAACGATAGAGAGGGTACTTGCGGATAAGAAAGAGCCTGAAGCTTCTGTGAAAACTAAGGATACATTAAGTGTAATCGCGCAAATGCCAAGGAACTTACCTGTTATAGTCAATTTCTCTAAAACGGAGAAAGATGTTACGGATAGTCCTAAAAGAGAATCTTCGTCTGAAAGAGATAGAAAGCACGAGGAGACGAGCGTGAGGTCACCTAAGAACTTGCCTAAAAGAGGCAAAAAAGGTGTCGATTCTCTATTGGAAAAACTGGAAGGTGGAAATAAAAAGCTCGGGAGTGCCGAGAATATCGGTTCGGTAATTGTAATGCCGGTGGAAGAAAGGGATACATCCAGCGTTAAAAGTATGTCGCCGGAGAGACAAAAATCGAAATCACCAAATCGGGAAGATGAAGTTGTGTCACCAGCTTTTAGCAATGACGACTCGAATGATAACACCAAACAACGCAGAAAACGAAAATTAGAAAAACCTGTGAGATTAAGCAAGGACTCGAAAACGGAAGTCGAGGACATGGAACTCGAGCCCACGGAACCCACGGAACCAAGGACTATCGATCCATTATTGGAAGAAACGACGAGTTCCACAGCTGACGTCAAGATAGAAGAGCAGATTGCCAAAGGTGCGGAGGAAAGAATATCGGACAAGGCAGTGGTGGGACGAGATCACGGAGGAAAGGTCGGAGGAGAGTCAACCAATTCGAAGGCGGAGTAGTAGCGAGAATATTACAGCTAGTAACGCGACATCGACAAATCAGAGGACACGAAGAAAATCCAGCGAAGATGCGTTGTCCGAATTTCCGAAGGTGACAAGTCCAAAGGATACGAGTAACGCGATGATGACGACGTCGACGACGTCGACGACGATAGCATCAACGACAACGACGGCGATAACAATGGTGACGACGGCGGCAGCGACGACGGCAACGAATCCTTTCGTCGAAGTTGAGTCAGAATTGGCGAAAATGTTCGCTGGCATCGTAGAAGCGGATCCGGAGGTGAAAAATGAAGAATCAAAAGCGGAACTCGCGAGCGCGCAAATTCAAGACGATAACGCCACCGTGAAATTCGAAGGTCTCGACAATAATATTCTGCCAATGACCGATTCTCAAAACGTTCAGAGTAATCCCATCGACGTTTCATCCACAGTAGATACGAAACTATCGGGGAGGAAAGGTAAAAAGGGCAAAATGCAGGGTAGCAAAAGAAAGATCTCCAGGTCGACAGAAAATATCTTTGGCACAACGGATGATTCTCCACTGAAAGAGACAAAGAAGAGGCGGACGTCCAAAGGCTCGAAGAAACAGGATCAAGCTTCGAAGAAAACGAAGAAGAACATCAAAATCGATGGCCTGAGGGAGATGGCTTATGATTCTGGTTCGAATGCGAGTTCGATCAGGTCACGAGGGCCAGTGGTTCACGTGGAAGGGCCCAGGGATAGTCCATTGAGTATCCAAGTGGTTAACGCACCACGAGAGGAAGAGGAGGAGAAGAGCAAAGAGAAACGGAAAAGCGTTGGCAATGGAAACGGAGGCCGAAGCAAGAGGCTCAGTCATCAAAACGATTTGGATTACAGGGGTACGTACATTTGAAATGGAAGAATGTTTCTATAGGCGGTTCGTTTTTGCGTTTATGACTCGCTTTATCAATTATTCTCAATTGTTCGTAGGTAAAGTCAGTAGAGCCGGTCTCTTTAGTTCAACCTTGTCTTCGCGATACGATGCGCACACCACGGACTCAACCTGGGTCTGCGTATTTTGCAAACAAGGTCCCCATTCCGTTATTCCCGGAGATCCATCCAGGCCACATCCGAATTTGGCCGGACCGCATATCGCAACTGGAACGTACACGGTATGTATACATTTTTTTTAAATGACCCGATACTTTGATATGATAGCAACTCGATATGATATATCTGACTCGTGCTAATTAAACGTGCTATTGTTCTTGTATCCTTACGATAATTTCTATTTTTATAAATTTTATCTACATTGTATATTGATCCATATATACTTCAAGTTCCAATGTCTGAGAGATTTTCGTTTATATTGAGCATAATCGCGATTTTTGTACGTATATTAGAATGATAAGTAAATTTTTAAAAACGATATTCAGTGCCAAATGTAAAGCGCTACAGGCTATTAAAAATGAAAAGTCACGCGTTAACGATATGAGTAATATGATGAATGTTTGTAACAGGTTCCAGCTGGCGTGTTAAGTGACTTATTTGGACCATACTTGATCGGCAAAGAGCGATTGGAGGATGGTATTTTATCGGCTGACGAGCAAGAAATCACGACGGAACAGAAGAAAGGCGGCAAGAATAAGAGGAGCTTGAGGTACGCGGGTCTGGCAGATCAGTTCTCTGCGAAGATGGGAAAGAAGAAGCGGAATTCCGTGGAAAGTAATACAAACGCCATTTTTACGGGTATGACTCTGCATCCTGGCGGGGAGGAACAACGGTGGGAGGTATGGCTCCACGAGCAGTGCGCAGTATGGGCGGCTGGGGTATACATGGCGGGTAAGTCAACGTCAACAGAATGATAGAGAGAACGATATTGAAAGCCCGTAATAATACGCATGATAAGTGGGATTGTGTTTGGCAGGTGGCAGAGTAACAGGACTTCAAGAAGCGGTGTGGGATGCTGCCAAATCAGTATGCGACTCTTGTGGTCTGACAGGCGCGAATATCGGTTGCGTGAAACGTGGCTGTAAGGCTGTCTCGCATTATCCGTGCGCACTCACGAAAGGTTGGCACCTCGACACAAATCAGTACATACCTAAGTGTAATCTTCATCGAGTTACGTGAAACTCCGGTGAGTCTATGAGCATAGGCTAATATGGAAGTAGGTCGTATTCACATTATATCACACTGAGATCCGGCTTTAATTAGATGCACCGAATAATGGGCAATAATGTAAGAGACTAGTATATAAATCCGTTTATGACTGAAGATAGCCTTACTAGTTAGTAAGGTATGTTCTAGTTAATAAAGGAGCAAAACATCCTCATGCGACAAAATTGATCTGTGTATAGTTATGTCGTTATCGGAACGTAACAATACGCGCGAAAGAGTAATCGACGTGACAAACAAATAGATGAAATTTAACATTCAAACATATTGTTTTATATATTTTTTCCGTTCCAATAGATATAAATCTATTTTCTTATTTGACGATGAATTGAGATGGTGCGACCATAAGATGTTTTGAAATTTTGAGGTTACTCTTTATGTTATTTGACGCGTAAATGTATTTGGAGCATGAAAATATAAATGGGAGAACATACCAATTTTCAGATATCACTTTTAGAATCAATATGCTCGAAAAGAACAGCTTCCAATGTACAAGATGTTTAAATGGGACCGCTCTTAACGCTAGAAGTACCGAACGATCGTTTCTGATCATTTCTATTTTTTAAATTAATGTATCTCTTTTCATAAGTAAAGATATTATGTTAGAATTTTCTAGCTTTTTATTTTGATGGAATATTATATTGTTAAAATCTGAAAAATATTTAAAAAACAGAAACTGTCAGAAATGACCGTTTGGTAGATTTAGTATTAACAGTCTCTGAGAATTATGGAAAGAAAAATAGCGAATGAAAGTGAAAAAAAGAAAATAGATGTTCTCGATAATTGAATTTAATTGATTTTCTTGGCCTGTGTGGCCTTGAATGGTGGCCTTTTCGACTTAATATAAAAAGCAAGATTTTTCTTTAATTTCGAATTTATAGAATAGATGGATCGTTAACGTGGAACAATGATAATCAAAAATGCAGATATTGCTTTTTTACTCATATTTATGAAAACATAAAGATATTACAAATTTTCTTAACAACATCATGTACGCAGGAATACACAAATAGGGCATATTGCATTTAATGCTATCGAATTATGTAAAATTGTATGACAGTCAACAAAAATCAGAGTATAAATACAGTAAGACGTGTAAGTCTATAACATAAGCGAGAATTGAACATTCTCTTTTCTTTTTCGCAAAGATTGAGCATGATCATGTGAGGCAAGTGTTCTCTGATGGATGTAAAAAATAAACTCTGTAAATACAAAAAGAATAAAGGGAGTATTATATTATTAAGAT